AACAACAAGCAGCAAACGAATACAAAGGTTGTAACTAGAAGAGATAATTGTTTGCTTTACTTCTTTATTTAATGTTCTATGATTTAAGAAAAATTAGTTTAAGAACTTACTTGCAAATAATATTAATGTATATACATATATAATATATAATAACTGAAATGTGACTGTATTTTACAAAATACAAGTCTACTAAAACACAGCCAGGACAGGTCATTTTGTACAGACTAAAGGTCAGTTTTATATTATTGGATATGGTATCATGAGTTCACGTGCACTGCATCATTGTAACTTCTGTATTGTTAGCCAGGCATGGCTGGAAGGTCAATATAATGAAAATAATAAATATACATGTATGTATAATATTATGAGATTTAAGATATTTAAACTACGCATTTGTGTTTTCGTGTTATAATCTGTAGTCATTCTAGAACAAAAAAGCATAATTTAAATTTATTTCCTAATGTTTTATGGTGGTTACAAGGTTGGTCAAATTGACAGACTCTATAATGTTAGGGTAGAGAAAATAACAAAAAATAAAGAATTTTACTAAAAACAAATGTTTGAAATGTATTTAGGAGGTTTTAGAGATTACGCAAATAATATTTGAAATTTCTGGGACGAACAATAGTTTCTTAGTTATAACATGAAAATCACTTCGCACTTGTACTGGTAACAAAACAGACTCAATATTTTCACAAACAAATCTATAGTAAAAATACTTCAGTAAAAAATCTGATTTTTTGTGTACAAAAGTCTTGTAATCTTTACAAAAAGCCTAACAAATTTTGTGAAGATACACTTACTGCATTAAAAGTTATAGCATAAATACTTAAATCGTGTATATTATATCGAGCCCATTGCAAAAGGGCTAAAGCTGACAAAGAAAATGGTTAATATTTTCTGAATAACTGTTCAGGAAATTCTAATACTCCAAAAAAAAAATGTTTACACCATTTATTCGTGAATAAATAAGTTATTCACACAAATTTACCTAATTTCTACCTTGGGTAGAGAGACATTCATCATAAACATTCTAAATATAAAACAGCCATTCACACTGTTAATCTCTATGTAAGAAAATAAATATCTCCTACCAGCAATTGCCGAAGATAATAATCCACCAGAGTCTTTAATTTCATCAAATTTAGCAAATATAGCTTGCAGCCTGAAAAACAGGATATTAACATACAGTAAAATCACTTTCTAGTAACTTCTTGCAAATAAATTATAAAAGATTATATTCTATGTACTGACTAGTGTACAGCAGTTAACACAAGTATTCATAATGAGGTGAAGCAATATTACAATTTGTCTTCTCAACCACCGTTTTATTTCTGCTCTCCACATTGAACAATTCACTTGAATGCACTGAGCACAATTATTCACAATGAAATAAAATAATACTATAATATGCCTTATCTACTAATCTTTTTTATTATTATTATTATTTTACACTGGACAATTCTCTCTGTAATTTAAAGATGCAGAGTTACATTTAGTCCAATCAATCCTGATCAAAACAAAAAAAAAATCCAGACCCAAATGTTATTCAACAAGTCCAAGTAATTTATTTCATTTTTACATTTAGGTGCTACAAGAATGTTCTAGTGATAAACCATACAAAATTACCCATAACCCCTTATTATTGTTTCCCCATGCAGAAAATTGTTTTGGTAATTGGTAATTTTGTTATGATGTTGCAGTTTCTACTACATAATCACTAAAGCATGTTGTTTATAATTTAATGGTGGAATCCTCTGTTTTGTAATATTATATTCATTAGTGTTTTAGTTGGACACAAAAATCACTTGCACAACATTTTTAGGTTTACTGCTCTACATCATGCAGGAAACACTTTACAAGCATCCAGTACTTAGAATTTATTTGGGATAATTCTTGGGGTTTCTCTGGCACACACCACTTGTAGAAGTAAAAGCACATCCGTTTGTTTTTGTGTATGTGTGTGTTTTAAGTTTATCATGGCTAAACAGCAATATACAATTGAAGAAGAAAAGCAATGACTGTAGGAAGAGCCCACAGGATTTATCCAAAAACTTCTGTAAAAACATGTAACCCTACCAAAGATATGAGGTAATCACGACTTTATCGTGTGACCCACACAACAAATAATCATTAGAAAACTTGGAGATACCCCTGGGGTGTATTATATGAATAGCCAAAGCATCTACACCTATACAGATATACAGGGTGAGAAAGATAGTATGTGCCATAAATTCTACAGCACAATGCACACACAAACAGGTGATATACCCTAGAACTAACAGCACAATGCAGCAAAGGGGTTTATCATGAACATAATGGGTACAATTGAATTAAAAATACTGATAAACTAGTGTGTTTACTACATTAAAGGTTAAAATCCTCAAGTTTTCATAGAAAATACTGTTTTAAACTCAATTTTTCTTAACTTTAGTGAATTAAGTTGTTTTCGTCATAACTGAATATAGTTAATGGAATATTTGGCCTAAAAAACACAGAACTGTAGGTGTTAAATTTACAATCAGGTTTGATGGTTTTGAATGAATAAAAACATAAATAATGCCATACCCAAACATTTTACCACTGCAAAACACAATATGCTGTGAGCTCTCAAGTGCAGGTAAAAAGAAAAAGACAACTTGCATGAGCAATGGAAATATTGCTTCACAAAGTATAGATGCATATACATTAGATTAATATCTGCATATTGTAAACAAAGTCCAACATAAAACGTTTTTCCAGGTTAGTTGAGCTTATAATAATAATCTTTAAAACTTAAAATATCTACATTATAACAGAGCATTCATACAAAAAGATATTAACTCTCAAAGTTCCATGAATGATTACAGTAATAAATATTAACTTCCAATCAGCTACCAAATTAGATTAAAACTAAAAGTTAACCCAGTAATGAGTATTTATAGCTAATTAAATATACTTTCATATTTTAAGATACTTGAACATTAAACATATATAGTATGAAAGTGGGCCTATCATAAAACAAAGAATAACCATAAAACTTTCCTTGATCCCCACAGCTTTGGTTTTTCATTAGGAACTAATATACAAGAAGTAAATATCAGAAGATGATAGTTAATGCTTTTATTTTTATCAACCCCAAACTTTAAGTTGGACTGGTCTTAAATATGGTAGAACAGACCAGAAGTGTGACCTATGGCATATGTAGCAACTTCTGTAAAACAAAGACAGGATGCAGTGATCTTCTATCACAAGGTTCACAGCATTGTTCAGTTAAACAATATTTTTGCAATCTTAAAAAGTTTCAAGGTGCAGTTAACTGTATTAATCATTCATTTTTGGAGCTCATTCTATAAAATTACTTTGCTACCAGCATATTTCTACTTAGTAAAGTCACCTACAATTGTTGAAAGTAATAGGTCTGAAATAAACAATATATTTTTAATTTAACATTAACAACTCTGGCTTTTCTTCACTGATATATTGGTAGAAGTACAGTTGTATATTACAGCTGCAATAATTCTAATTTTTCTGTTGCTCTCCACGATGTGTCCCGTTTTACTTACTGAACAACTTTAATACTTAAAACAAAAGTTCACACACCTTGGGCAGAATGAAATTTCTCAACTTTTCCCTAACCATTTGATCTATGCTTGTAATAATAAGAGAAATTGCAAAACATTATTTATGTATTATTTAATAGAGACAAATGATGCTGTATGTTAAGTCAGGGTTTATTCAAATGTCATCTTGTAAAGTTTCAATATGATTGGTTATGCTGTGCTCAAATTATTGATTCTTTATCAGAACATATACAAAAGAGACAGTTTTCCATTTCAAACATACTGTTGGTGTGAACGTGCTTTGTAGTTACTATGAGAAAAGGCTATACACTAGATAGATCTACACTTTGATCAAGGTGTATTATTGGGTTATACTCCTCATCAGTAACCCTGAACACAAGTTAACCAAAGAGAGATAAGCTAGACATATATCATAGTGAAAAGTATCAACCAAACTTTGTACTCACTATAAGAAAAACCTATACACTAGATAGGTGAAGTGAAGAAAAAAAATTTCATTTTCCACTATTCAGTTCTTCACATTATATAGCCTCACAATAGCAGATATAATAAATAAACTTAGTATTCCAAAAATTGTTTAATATTGAAGTCTAAGTTCAATGGAGGTTCAGTTTAATCTACACTTTGATCAACGTGTGTTATTGGGTTATACTAGTTTCAGAAAATTTCACTCTTCATCAATAACCCTGAACATAAGTTAACCAAAGAGAGATAAGCTGGACCTATATCATAGTGAAAAGTATCAAACATACTGTTGGTGTTTATAAGCTTTGTAATCACTATGAGAAAAACCTATACACTGGATAAGTCAAGTGAAGAAAATGTGTCATTGGCCACTATTCAGTTCTTCACATTATATAACCACACAACAACAGATATAATAAATAAACTTAGTATTCCGAAAATTGTTTAATTTCAAATTCTAAGTTCAAGGGAGGTCCAGTTCAATCTACACTTTGATCAACATGTGTTATTGGGTTATACTAAATAAGTTTATTTATTAGTTTTCCAATTGCTTATGATAGTGCATACCAATCACATTTTAAAATATTAATTTAAATCATAAAAATGTTATTACAGCATAAAAACATCACAGATTTTAACACAATACAAGAAGGAACATGTTTACTGTCATAAAATGGAATATTCTTTAACTTTACATACATGAAATACGTATTAAAGGAATGTTTTATAATGTGTGTACATGCACAAAAAATGTAAAAACTTTAAACTGCTAACCATACACTGCAATAAAGTCATATTTTAAGTATCTATGAAAAACTGCACACATTGACAGTACCATCCACTGATCCAGTGCACACTGTATTATTTTTGCATGTGCTTTGAAACTGAGCATATTAAGTTCATATATATATATATTACTCAGTTTTAAATCCTAATTTATACATACAGAGCACTTTATATATGTAACCAGACCTGCTGATGAAACAACCATAACGTTTATAGTTGCATTATAATTCTACACCATCACCATGTACAACTGTATACACAGAAGTTACGGTAACTGGATAAACACAAATCATACTGTATGCAAATATGTTTGTCACTGACAGTGATATTGTATTCCAGTAAAACACCAATCAAGTGTCAAGATTTTCATTTTATTCTCATATAAAGTTGCTTATTACATTAAGTAAAAACTACTACTAAGTAAAACTTTTACATAAAGTACTCACATAATTTTTATTCTGGTAGGATCCTTGGACTTAAACAATGACAAACACTACACAACACCCATTGTCGATCACACTAGTACAACACATTCTCCATAATTAATATCTCCATCTCCAAAGCATACCGTGGTCTGAAAACCCATAGTTTCAAAACAATACCAAAACTATCAATTTAATTCCATCAAACTGCAGACGTTCATCTTTATCTTTAGTCTTTATTCTTTCCTATCCCTAACATCTTGTTTGTTGCTTTACAAATAGTAGATTTTCCTAATATGCTACTCAGGTATTCGACGCATTAAAGTTAACATTCCCCATGCATCTGCCTTTGAGATTTTCTACATGTCACTAGCCTTGAGCTATCTTCCACATTATAACATGAACTGCACCAGTGCATGATGCAATCACCATGTGACATTAGTCTTCCACCAATAGGAGGGCAATATATATTCGCTATGTGCAATAGATCTCCATACACAATTACACTCAAAATTAATTTCATTCTTAGACGAGGCATGAATAACGTGCACCAATAGTAGTGCGGAAGAGTTGGAAGGTGTGCAGAAGTGAGTATCTATCGGAAACACATTTTCAGGTAAGAAAAATATTAACTTCTGAAATGATAGGCTTATCTCTCTGTACACAGTACCTAGAAATCCACACTGATGTGGTGGAGGTGCCAGTACAATGGCAAAAATCTTGTAAGTTTCCTTTAATGAAAGTAACTGAAGGGGAAAGCCCATTGAGTGCACCAATATAGCGGAAATTTACTAGAGGGGCAATACATGTGGGAAACAGGATCCATCTCATGTAGGATATATTATTTGCTCAGATGGAAGTAGGAACGAAAGAAGACTAATTGAGCCCATGTGTCATAGGGATGGTCAGAAAAACAAATGAACAAACAA